GCCTTTTATCGATTATGTTGGCTTCGCTGCCGTAGATTACGCGAACAGTTTGAGATCTGACGCTAACTAATTACTGCACTACCCGTACCTAATCGAACTTAAACCATTCAATAGTGGATTTGCATCCGTGACATGGTTTCTACTCACTTTCAGCAAGTGTGGCATAGGTATATCGTGACGAATCGGCTTACTTTGTTGATAGTATCGAAACAAATTTCTGTTAAAACGAGGTCGACCCCAAATCGGCTCAAAAACACGTGCACGAAGGAAAGTACGGCGTACGTCGGATACCGTGTATACCACTTCAGTTGAGAACAGTTAAACGGGAACTCCTTTTGCCGATCGATAAGATCAGATTCCTCTCTCGTTTGAATAATATGAAAAATCGAGATGGATAGATAAATGGAAGGAATAAGAGGAACCGCGCTGGATATGTACTGGGTGGAATCGGGAAAAGGGGGGACCGTGCACAGAGGGCGGCGGAGCAAGGGTTCGAGGGGCGGAGAAGAGGGGTCGAAGACGCACCATCGGTGGAGTGAGTTAGAGCCGGCGGGCAACGCTATGCATACCGTCACACCCTGCGACACGCTCCAAATTTGAAATTTAAATTCGGTACCTCTCGCGGGACCACGTTGTACACCGGTTACACACGCACACAGATATACTTACGTGCACGTAGATGCACGCACACTTACAGGGAGAGATCTATGCATGTCGCGAGTGTGCATACAGGACGCCCCAAAATAATTTTAGACGCTCTATGCTGAAAATTCCATCTAATTAAAAGTTACTTAGCATATTAAAGAGTAACACGTTCCATCGTGCGAAAGCAAGTGATCGAAACAAATAGATTTTAAAATTTCATTTCTTACTTGGGCGGGGGTTACAAGGTTCCTACAATAATAGAATTTTTATGAAAAGCTGTTAACCCTCGAGATATATCTATCTTATGTTAAAAAATTTAAACTGCATTGTAACGTGTCGTCTAAAATTTTCATCAGGGAAAGATTGTGTTGGAAAATTTCATGTAGAATACTGCAATTGTCAAGTCGTCCCCTTTTGGGACACCCTGTGGAAAGCGACTGGCAAAGCGACGGCGAATCAGAATGTTTGCGAGAACAGGATGGAGCGAAAGACAGGAAGGATGTATCGTCGTTTTCACGACGACCGACCTGCCCGTTAAGTCGTTTCCGCTCGTAGGTAAACACACGCGGGAATAGTAATTCAGAAACAGGGACCCTGCGCCGTGTCCTTTCACCTCCCGTCTGCCCTCCACTCTGCTTTCCTCCCACGACTGGTGAAGTTGTCTCGAGTCGTGTATGATTGTCTTGTCTGCTTGTCGCTGTCGATCGCGTTGAATTTCAGGCGAAGGAAACGCTCTTTTGGGATGAGCTTGTTTTCTCGAATGTCAGCCGAAAATCGGAGCGTGCTCTTTCACTTTGCATCTCGTGCATTGTATAGCTACCGTTAGACTTCGTTGCTTCGCTCTCGAAAGAAGTAACTATGCAACGTAACGAGGAGAGTCTCCAGAATCAATCAGACATGTCTAGGAAAGTTATTCTTAAACTTTAATAATTCTAATTTTAACGTGTTGTTCATTGATTATTTTCTTCGCTGTACATGATTCTAAAATTTTTTTATTAATAGAAAGTATACACGGTAGACTATACTTAAATGTCCGCACTACTTACGTCCAGCGACCGCAGAACATCCTGCAAAATAACGGTTAATACATCGCGCCCGCGAGATTATCGGCGCCGCGACACCGTCTTTTCTTCGTGTTCGTTCAGCCGCAAGCTTTTACCGAACGTACATAATCGCATTTTCCTCGGTTATGATCCGAGTCACGAGAGAGAAAGAGGGAGCGCGTCCGTAATTTTTTCTCGTTCCCCTCTATCGTTCCCGCCGCTCCTCTTCTCGGCATTCCACGACGACACACGCGGCGAGTGGCTCACGTCATGTGACACGTGTCCGACGGACGAAGGCGCATAATGCACGTGTCGCACGCACGATACATAGCGGCTGCATCGGCATGTGACGACCGCCGTCGCGTCGCGTCATCTCGTATACCGGGGCGGGCGGCTGCACTTTCTCTTTTCGCGTCGATGATCGCGCATCGTAGATGCGGCCGACCAGTATAGAATCTTTAAACCGCACCGTTATCTCTCCCTCGTGATACCACGCACTTGTGGCGAAGTAATTCCGAGGTGTAGCATTAGTCGAACGAAGTCCTGAAATTTATGCTAGCCCTAAAACGAATATATTCCCGAGGGATAAGAATCAAGGTATATAAATCAAGACTATTAAAAAGCGTGTGTCACAACAAAAGTCACAACGAAAGGAAATGTGGTACGATATATGAATATATAAGAGATTTATGTATAGAAAATGTTCTAAATTCTTCTGTACTTTTTAACAAAAATTTAGATTAATTTTGTTATGCCTTTCCTCTTTCTAAATAAATTTTTATATTCAATTTTTAATACCATAAAATTGACTTCATATCAACCGTTGCAATTGATCGGACAAAAGAAAACATTTATAGGAGGAAAACTTTTAAACGAGAAGGAAAATGGCCAGCGCTTGCGGTTCCTTTAATAGCCGCTATAGTTATACGATTGAATAGTTACTAAAACGTCATGACAGTCGATTGAAATTGTTGGCAGAGTCATGCTCGTCGAAATTATTACGTATAGCAGCGTGTCTCTTTCCGTGGTCATCTATGCCAATAACTATAGTTATCTTATCCCGGAATTACCCTACACAGCTGGTACAGCGATATAGCTATACGTGTATAGATTGGAAATGGTACACTTGATAGTTCCTATACGGAGACATATCTGTTTCTTACGTGGCTCAAGTTCATTCGTCACTACGTAAAATCGATCCGAGGGGGTTTGTCATCCCATAATTCATTCTTACATCTCTTCCGTACGCGCGCGGGGCTTCCAGAAATAAATATATTCTTCGACGTAACACTCGACAAGAAGACGGAAAATGGCGCTGTTTAAAATGCAAATTTGAAGAAACGCGATTATAAAGCCGCGGATTGAGTCGGATATTCGTCGAGTAAATCTCATCGACGTCGGGGAATAATCCCGGGGTCAATCTGCTAAGGCTTTCCACGAAGTTTATTAGGAACGATCGAGGCGATATAGAAGGAGCAAACTCTCTCGGATCTTACTCCGTGAATTCGGTTGCGCGAAGGCGCGCGTGCCTATATATCCTATAAGTTCTTCACGAGAGCACTCGAATTAGATCGGCACGCTGCAGTGCAAACTCCACTCCTGCGAAATACTCTTCACAATGGGATGACTTAGAGGGCAACTGATCCAGCAGCTTAAAACGGAGTATCCCCTCGCGATACTAATGCTCACCGTCTCTCGCGCATTCCATCAAACTCTCGCGCATTCTAAAGTAATCTAAAATATATGCGTATCTTATGAAGCGTTCGTACAATGCACTCCTTCATATCTAGTCCAGATAGAAAATAAAAATTGTTACAGGAACAGAGAGAAGGTTTTATTTTGCAATTTGGGTCGGAATCGCCTAAAAATTTGTTTAGGTCTCTGTTGGACCAGGACCTCGTCCCAGATTAATCCCAAAAGTTACATTCGGCACAATTTTTGTTTTGTTTTGAGCACGCAACCTGTCGCTCACACTCTGCTTCGCATCGGTTTGGATGCAGCGAGATAATTGCAGTTCGCGCAAGTGCCTCTGTCGAAAAATGATCGGTGGCAGAATGGGAGATCGATGGACGAGGAGATAGAAGCGCAAAAGGGGAAAAGGGTCCAAAAAATAGGACAAATAAAAATAGATTTTACATCATGCAGTTTTCACCTTTGAGATTGTATTCGGCGTCGGCGGTAGGTACGTTCTCATCCGTGTCGCGCTCTAGCATATATATATATATATATATATATATATATATATATATATAAGAATTCAAGGGCCCGATATCTAGATAGAAGCTCTAGGACAATCGTTCTAGAAGCTGGCAACGCCAATCCAGTCCGATTATGGATTTGGGGCAGATATCGCGAGATGGAAAAGAATGAAGTGACTATAAAGAGAAGGAAGGAAAGAGGGAGGAAGGTGGAGGAAGAGCATGAGAACGGAACGATGAAAAGGAGATGCAGGAAGGAAGGACGAGCGGGTTGTCAAGAACGAAGAGAGAAAGGGCGCTAGAGATACAAAGAACGCGAGGCGAAAAGAAGAGAGACAAATGAACGAAGGAGAAGAGAGGAATGTGCCGGGCGCGTGGATGAGAGGTGAAGAGAGGAAGAACGAATCGACGAAAGGGAGAGAGAGAGGAGAATCGAGGGTTGGTGGCGTCCAGACCCGGTCGATACGACCACTACCACCAACATCACCACCGCCACCTCTACCACGATGCAGGACAGAGCGCGGAACTTGGTTCCTACGCGAGAATGCATACACCGATACACAGTGGAATCTTCCCGTTTTTTTTTCTGACCTTACGTGCCTCTCTTTCTCTCTCTTTCGCTCCCTCCTTCTCTCGCCGTATTCATCTCCCGATATTTTTTCACCCTTCGCGCTCTCAACCATCCGCCATTTTGAGAGGGAACATCCCCCTTCGATGGGTCGATTTCCTCACGATGACTTTGGCACGTACTTTGAGCTCAGACAAGTCTGGATCTTTAATTTCGTATCGCGCTCCGTTGTAATATAACATTGAGACGTGTAATTATTATATATATCTGTGGTAGATGTGCGATTGTATGAAATAAGGTAGTTAAAGAAGTCGCTTTAGTCGTAAGAGTATAGATAAAAATAAAGAAGAAATTAGAAAATTCTGTAAAGTTCATGTTCTTCGCTACTTCATCAGATAAAATACATTTTTTTTAATCTTAAAATTTAGGAAGAAAGGAGAATAGAGACACAAATAAGATGGAAATTTATTTATTATTATATTATGATATAAGCTCGGGATGACATCTCGTGCACATACTCACATCGCATTTTCTTTGTGATTGCAGTTGTTCTCTTGGACACGACGACGGAAGAGAAACTCGACTGGACGAGATACCCGTTTGGGCCTCAAGCTAACACTCCTGGCGTAAGTATACTGAAATTTCTATCGCACGTCGATGCGCATGAATAGAAGGCATCAAACTTCTTCTCAAAATGTTGGCGAGAAAACTTTTTCCTCTCTTCGATACGAAGGAAAATTATTCATTCCGATAGCCGGTAACTCCCTCGACTCTTTAAGCGATAAAAGCATCGAGAATCCGAAAGTAAGATCAGATTCGCCCCTCCTCGAAGGAAGGACGAAACAATTTCTTAAATATCGCGAATTTCCATAGAAATATTCGACGTGCCAACAGCAACACGGGGAAATTCCCGTCGACGTAGGAATTCCGCTCGCTCGGTCGCGCGCACGTTCGGCATCCTTTTCTGCGCGGCCAAAGGGAAATATTAAAAATGTCTCAACATAAATTAATACTCTCTCGCGAGGTCGTTGCACGCGCGATTCAGGAGCCCTCTCTCTCTCTCTCTCTCTCTCTCTCTCTCTCTCTCTCTCTCTCTCTCTCT